TGTCGGCAGTGCTGCGGGGCATGGTCTCGTAGGAACGTCATGTAAGTCTGAAGGACATTGCTGAACTGCCCTCGCCCCTCCCCCAGCAAAATAGAAAGATGCCTGTTCCCCTTACTGTCCCTTCTTACATATTGTTTATTCTCCTGTGTTTAAAATTCATCTCCTTTTTCTGTGACTGTTCATGTCTTTTGTCCACTTTTCCATTTGGTTATTGGTTGGTTGGTTTCAGAAGAACTCGTTATACCTTGTAAGTTTTTTATATTTGTTACAGATACTTGCCTCTACTTTCTTGTGCCTTACAGCCATCTCTGCAGGCACTGTCATCTCTCATTCCACTTTTCTATCTCTCCCTCTTTTAACGCTGCCTACCTTAGCAGCTTTCCTCCTTATTAGACCTTCCAGTAAGAAAAGGAGATATATTCTAGTCCTGACCTCTGTGCCGGGGCATTTGCGATCTCTCTGAGCTTTTCAGTGTATTTCCTGCTTACCCCCGATTTTATATACTAGGAACCATGTATCCTTTCGGTATTTACATGAGCTATTAGTTCGGGCTTTGTTAAGACAAACCCTAGAATATAGTACCCTTGTCAGCTGAGATGGTGAAGTTTGAACTCCAGCTCTTCCTCTGCTGCAGTGAAGAGCTCAGGAATCCTTTCAGTGCATGATTTTTTGATTCAGATTTAGTTTAACATTTTCTCCTCTAAGTGGCCTTTACCTAGCAGGTCATTTGACCTCCCTCACCAGTAAAATGAGGGCTAAAACTTGCATGGCCGGTTGTTGTAATGGCTGAGTGAGGCTGGGAACATTTAGAAGGAAGAAGGAGGAGTGGACCTCTTAACTTTTCCTTTAATCTTTAAGGCCTGCGTTCTCTAGATTGAGGCTCTCTGTCACTAAGGTGGCAGTGTAACTGGGGTGTCCTGGGGCAAGAGAGCCTCGACCTACTTGGTTGTTGCGGCCAAAGGTAAACTGAGTCGGGGGGGGGGGCGCGGGGTGAAAGGATTAAGGAAAGACAGATAAGAGAATGAAAGCTGGGTCTCGGTGGAACGCTGCTCCCTGATGAGGAGACAGCGCCAGCGCCCACAAGCCGTGTCTTTATTTTATAGCAGATGTCACGAGGCAAAGCGGGGGCGTGATCACGTTGTTTATAGCATTCTCGTGAGCTCCAACCCTACTCAACTACATGCACCTGAACTCTCCTTGGGGTTACGTGTTTGGACCATAGGTTCAAGCTTACAACCACAACCGTTGGCTATAATTGTGCTGGGTGGGCCCTGCCCTCCAGCTGGGACTTGCACGTGCCAGTGAGAGGACCCTGTCCTTTCATTAGTCCGAGACTTGAACCTGGCCCAAACACCGTAACCGCGCCCCACACTTGGTGACATTCCCCAGGGTCTTAAAATGATCTCTGGCTGTGGCTTCTGCTCTCTCAGATGTAAAGGAGGAGGTGAGCTAGAGGGTGAGGGTGACAGTAGTGCCGCCCGCACAGGGTGGTTTTGAGGCTTCCCTGGGAAAGCCCTCGGCACAGAGCCTGGCGCATGGAAAGCAGACCATCAACTGTGGAAGAGGGTGATGAAGCTAAAGTCCTCCCTCCTCCTTTGCAGAAGCCTCGTCTTGCGTGTCTCTTGGAAGCACGTCCCTGAGTGGTCCCTCCATCCACTGCCCCTCGGCTGCGGTCTGTATCGGCATCCTCCCAGGCCTGGGCGCCTACTCTGGGAGCAGCGACTCCGAGTCCAGCTCAGACAGCGAAGGCACCATCAACGCCACCGGCAAGATCGTCTCCTCCATCTTCCGAACCAACAGCTTCCTCGAGGCCCCCTAGCTTCTGTGTCCTTATCCAGGGAGCTCCTCCCCGAGAGTAGACAGATGGCTCATCTGCCTGCAGGCATTGCCTCCCTCAGAAAACTTCTTTGCCTGCTTCCTGTGCACACCGGGACATTCTAACCGCGTCTAAAAATGTGCCGGCACCCACCTGTGTTTGGTTTCTCTTTCCACTCCGGTGCAGATGCCCAGTCCGGCCCCTGCCTCTCTCCTCACTCATGTGGGGTGGGGGTCAGGGCCCGGCAGAAACCCCACTGAAAACGCCCTGGGAAGACAGGGCAGCTGGCTGGTACAGGGTTTGGGTTATGTTGCTTTCTTGTGGTTTTTGTTTTGTTTGGTTTGGTTTTTTTCCTTTCTGAACAGCACAGGGAAGCAAGGGCCATTCTTTTAAACATTCTCTCCTAGATGAACACATTGTTTGGTGGCACTGCATTGTGGAGATGCGGATGGAGAGAACTGGTCCAGGTAATGAACTGGCGCACTCCCCTGGAACTAACCAGTTCTTGATGTTGTGTGACTAAGATTAAAAACTACATCTGCAGGGGGTGTCCCTTTGCACTCATCTTTCACTGTGAGGTGTTTCCTTACTCTGAGAAAAGTCTTTCTCCTCCCTTTATCTAATCCCATTTAAAACTAAGCCTTAGCCTGGCTGGCATGGCTCAGTGGTGAGCGTCGACCTATGAACCAGGAGGTCACAGCTCACTTCCTGATCAGGGCGCATGCCTGGGTTGTGGGCTTGATCCCCAGTCTGGGGCATATAGGAGGCAACCGATCAATGGTTCTTTCTCATCATTGATGTTTTTATCTCCTCACTCTCCCTTCTTTTTTGAAATCAATAAAAATATTTTTTTAAAAGGAAAAAAAAAAAGACTAAACCTTAGAGAAGCAGACATAGGCCTTATTTTATCAGAGCCAGAAATCACAAGTGCTGATAGGTCTGTGGACAAGATGACTTAGTTTTGGCGGCTCCTGGGTCCCTAGGGGACCCGCCCGCATATTCTGACTATGCTTTGTATTCTGTCGAGGTTCCTCTTTGGTTGATACTTTTATAGTTGTGGCTTCTAACTCTGGGAGCTATGTCTAGCTTAGAGGTGCTGCCCTGGTCCTTTCCTCCTTTCTCTGCTGCCTCTCCTCCTTTCCCTTCCCACACAGAGCAGCTCCGAGGGGGTGAGCCGCCAAGACCTAGAGGTATTGCTCCACCTCTGTGTCTCAGAGACGGGGGGAGAAAATGATGGAGGGAGACTGGTATGGAGGCCTCAAGGACAGAGGTAGTTTTAAAAAAAAACCTACCGGTTTGGCTCAGTGGATAGAGTGTCAGCCCGTGGACTGAAGGGTCCCGGGTTCGATTCCGGTTAAGGGCATATAACTGGGTTGCAGGCTCGATCCCCAGCCCTGGTAGGGGTGTGTGGGGGAGGCTACCGGTTGATGTGTCTCTTTCCATAGATGTTTCTGTCTCTCCCCTTCCCTCCCACTCTCTAAAAAATCGAGGGAAAATATCCTCAGGTGAGGATTAACCAAACCAAACCTGTAGGCCCCCTGCTTCAGGAGAACGGGCCTGTGCGGGTTCTTTTTCCCCCGGCTTCCTACGTCAATTGTTTCTCCCTCCTCGGGTGTGAGACGGAGAGACACACAGGATGTGTGACACTGTGAAGCTGGCAGGCAGAGAAGCTGCTCGGTGTTAACGTGGGCAGAGAGGCCCTGGATCTCATCCAACCCACTCCTTCCCCCCTTCCCATGCAGTGGCATTCCAGTGCCCACTGGCAGATGGCGACTCCCCTTCACCCGGAGCTGATGCCTGAGGTTTCTTCCTCGTTTTTGAAGCCACTCTGTGCTAATTGTTCCTGACCGGCTGCCCAGGCACGTCGGTTCCATTCTAACAAACAAGGCGTGTAGGTAAAGCTGACGTAGGCACCTTCTGCTTCTCTGCTTCATTGTTCCTGCGACCCGTGCTGTCAGGATTACAGAACGTTCCAGGAGGCAGACCGAGGAATCGGAGGCACCCTCTTTGTGTGGTGTGACTGAGTAAGAGGCCATTACGTGGCCTCACGGCCTCTGTTACGTTGGAGGAAGTTAACAAAGCATTGCAGGAATTTAAAACATACTAAATTTGAGGGCTAATAACAGGCTCTTGCTTTTGCTGCTCTGAATCTGTGCTCCCAACTCCCTCCCCATCTACCATAGCAGCTAGATTGTGGCGAAGGCTGAGGCTCTTCAGACAGAGTTCTGCTCACGTGTGTGTCTCAGGCGAGACTGAGAATCGCCGGTGATCATTGCATCGTATTCTGTTGTACCGGCTAGTGTGGGGCGTTGGGATGAAACACAGGCTCTGTGGGAATCCTGAATAGCAAAGCAGGACCTGGTCTGTCCATTAGAGGAAGCAGCCTTGTAAAGCATCCAGTGGAGACCGTGTGGTTCAGACCCAAAGAACAAGAAAACAGAGGAAGCACTGCTCCTGTCTTAATAGATAACGGGTGTTATGACTAGGTCCTGAGGGATAAAAACCAAGTTCAGAGTGGGTTTCTTTACACTTGCTTATGTTATCTTGAGTGGCAATAATTATGATTATGTTTAATGTTTTTATTGAGCCTGACCAGCGTGGCTCGGTGGTTGAGCGTCCACTTATGAACCAGGAGGTCACGGTTCGATTCCTGGTTGGGGGACATGCCCAGGTTGCAGACTCAGTCTTCACCGTGGGGTGTGCAGGAAGCAGCCAATCAGTGATTCTCTCTCATCATGATGTTTCTATCTCTCCCTCTCCCTTCCTCTTTGAAATCAATAAAAATATATATTTATAAAAGGTACAAAGTTTTTAAAAAAATGTTTTTATTGATCTTAGAGAAGGAGAGTCAGAGAGAAACATCAATTGGCTGCCCCCTGCACGCCCCCTACTGGGGAACAAGCCTGCAATTGAATCAGCGACCGACTTCTTGGTGCATGGGACAGTGCTCCACCAACTGAGCCACACGGGCTAGGGCCTGAGTGGCAGTTTCCTCACAGCTCTTGAACTATGCAAGGGAGAAAGCCCACCTGTGAGGAATCCTATTGCCAGCTCTATTTGGATTATCTAGTGCAGTGATGGCGAACCTATGACATGCGTGTTAGAGGTGACACGCGAACTCATTTTTTTGGTTGATTTTTCTTTGTTAAATGGCATTTAAATATATAAAATAAATATCAAAAATATAAGTCTTTGTTTTACTCTGGTTGCAAATATCAAAAAATTTCTACATGTGACACGGCACCAGAGTTAAGTTAGGGTTTTTCAAAATGCTGACACGCCGAGCTCAAAAGGTTCGCCATCCCTGATCTAGTTCGTGTCACTTCGTGCCCTCTCTAGCTGTGGCCCTGTCACCCACCTGGGCGGGGAGAAGGGGAGCATGAAATTCAAAGCAACCACGGCATCGGTGAAGAACAGGGAGACTGATGTGACTGGACCTACCGAGGTGGCCGTGACCTGTTTATGTCTTTTTCGGGAGGAGGGACAGCTGGCTTTTCGCATTCAGGGGGTGGGGCGGGTGCGCGAGCTTTTGTCAGGAGTATCCTGGACTGCAAGTCAGGCCCGAACTAGAGGTGTCTCAGGCTCGTCCCTGGCATTTCTTTCACTCTCCGCCTCAGGGTCTCCCCTTCTGGCTGCCTTCTTTCCACCCAAGAGAGACGCTTCCTTTGCCCAAGACATTTCCCCTGCTTCTTCCTGGGAACTTGGCCCGGTTCCACCTTCTGTAGAGGTGCCACAGTGGCTGTGAGCTTGGACCAGACATGCACTAGCTGGGTCACTTGAGCAAGGCCCTTAACCTCTGGGCCTGTTTCCTCCTCGATGAATAACAGCGACACCAACTTCCTGGCGAGGGTGAGGTCACCTAGGTAGCTCTTCGGTGTGGTAGCTGGCACAGTGCTCAGTGGATAGTAGCCATCGCATCAGCACTGTTAGGCCAGCCTCCCCGTGTGCAGGCGGGGGCCGGAGCTCCCGGTAGTGGTGCTTTGTGGTGCTTTGTGGCAGGTCTGTGCATCCTGCTGGCATTCCTCAGTTGTAGCGAGAACACTGACAGGACGAAGGGTCAGATCTGGTTGTCAGAGCTGCCACCAGCAGCTGGTTCTGTGCGCTTCCCTCTCAGCTAAATGTTAATTGCTCAGGCACACGCGGTTCCTTGGCTCGGGTGTCCTAGCCGTGGGTATATGGCTCAGCTGTCATCTTCAGCCCCTCCAGAAAAACAACAAGGAGACCTTTGTGTGATTCCCCAATGTCCTTAGGGGGATCGGGGCTCCAGGCAGTCCTGCAGCCCTCTCAGGAGAAGCAAGGGTGTCCCTACAGGATATTTTAGCCGACTTTTGGTGGCTACAGAACCAGCAGACGCATTGAAAACTTGGGATGAAAAAGCAAAGAAAATTTAGGATGGAGATATCCCTCATTCGCTTCTACCAGGTAGACACTGGCTCCTGAGGTCACCAGGCACCCATAGGAAGGACCCTGCCTGGTGCACCACCCAGGTGTAGCCCCCACTAGTAAGCATGACCTGGGAGAGGTCAAGGTGAGTGGCTTCCCAGGTCCAGTAGAGAGGAAGGACAAACTACCAGCTGCAGCAGAGACCCTTGGAGGGCTCAGGGAGGACGTTCAATGCAGCGGGCGAGTGTGGGCTCTGGAGTCTGCCAGACCCGGATCTAAGGTCTGGCTCTGCCTCTGAGAGATGCGACTGGCTGCCTGCTTGTGTGCGCGTCTCTGAAATGGTCCTGGACGGGCTGTTGGGAGGGTTCCTCAGGATTATGCCTGCGAAGCACTTAAACACGGAGCGGGGAACGGCGCTTACTGTCAACGTCTGTTACTGGTTCTACACAGGCCTCTGCGTGGGCCCCCAGGGGAGGTGGGTGAGAGAGAAAGATGCGTTGTGTGGGGGCGGGAACTGAGGGTGGCGGGGGTTTGAGAGGAGGGTCTCCTGGCTGGTGTCGTGGTCTGAGCCCAGAGCAGCCCTGTTGGCATCCTGAGGCCAGAGAGCCTTTCCCACAGGCGGACACCGGTGTCTGAGACGCCTGGAAGGGCAGCAAATGGGTGGCAGGGACTGCTGGCCTGTGTGTGTGTAGGTTCGGACCAAGAGGATGAAGGTGGTGACCATGTGGTGCTGGCTGGGCCAACATGGGGGAACTCCAGTATAAATGGTGCTTAATGTGAATGTCAGTTACTGGTTATATACAGCCCCTTGAGCCCTATTCGGGAGCATCCGAAACACTGGTGGGCTCTGCAGGGGCCAGGAAACCCAGTCGCTGGTGGGGCCTGTGCATTCTGTTCACCCACAGGGTTTACTGAGCATGTGCATTGTGCCGGGTCCCGTCCCAGTTTAACAAGTCTTCCTGTTCTTATGGGATGCAGGTCCCCAAACAGAAGGCTTGCTGGGGAAGGGCTTTTCCTGTTCATTTCCCTGTGCGGTGAGCCCACTGCGTCCCGGCTGAGGAAGGCGCTGACACAGGGACGCCTGAGCCTCCTTATCACCCCGAGTGTAACGAGCAGATGCTGTTGGAGCAGGAACTAGGTGCGGGCTGCGGCGCAGAGTGTGAGCCAGGGACACGTTCCTCTCAGTCGGCAGCTAGTCATGATTGTAAAAATTTTATTCTCTTTAATAACAGTAATAATTCCACAAAAATTATACAAAGTACATTCAATACTCAGGGGTGGCGGGGACAGGAGGAGAGGAGGCCCGTTTGGCCTGGAAGCATCACCAGTCGACTCCAACAAAGGAAGCCCAGCTGGGCTGGGGGACACGGGGGTGGAGGTCCGATTGTAAAAAATAAAGGTGGATCGGTTAAAAAAAAAAGGAAAAGCCCCCGTAAGGAAGCAGGGCGAGCGTGCACGTTCCTGGGGCGGGCGGGAGGCCGGCGCATGCTGCTGCCGGGGGCTGGCTCAGGCGGGCTCCGAGTTGGTGGGGGGCAGGTTTTTATGCTTGAAATACTGCACAACTTGCTGCGGCAGCTCCGCCAGCACGGCTTTGGCCAAGGTTTCTTTTGCTGCCTGCAGGGTGGAGGGGGGTTGAGAGGGAGAGAATAAGGCTTACTGAGCAGAAGTTGTGAGGGGCACTCTTCTCAGAGAGCTGCTCCCGAAGGCGTCCCTGGACAGATCGGCTGGGGCCAGGCTGTCTAAACTGGCGTCCCTCATCCCTGGCCCTGCCTGAAGTCCCACTGTTAGCGGTACCTTCGAGTTATGTGTAACTCTTTTTTATTTTTTAATATATTTTTGTTGATCTCAGAGAGGAAGGGAGAGATAGAAACATCTATGATGAGAGAGAATCATTGATCAGCTGCCTCCTGCAAGACCCCCACTGGGGATGGAGCCCACAACCTGGTCATGTGCCCTGATGGGGAATTGAACCATGACCTCTTGTTTCATAGGTTGATGCTCAACCACTGAGCCACACCGGCCGGACTAAGTGTAACTCTTACCCTGAGCACTTGGGGTGCCTGGGAGTAACATTTTAGAAAGAATTTGTCTGTGGGGGGCTTTTCGGGTCAAGAGCCCTTGGGAGGCAAGCTGCTGCACAGCCTACTCGTGTGGCAAACACATCCCCAGCACCTTGGCTGGCATCAGTGGGCCGTGACCGGTTCACTGCTGGACACCCAGGCACCAGGGTGCTCGGTCACTGCGGGCGGGCATGAGTGAGGGCCGGTGCCCGGCATCTGTCCTCAGACGGCTAATGCTCCAGAGAAGGAACCGAACCGTCTCAGGCAAACCCGGAGGATACTGGGCAGGGATGTGAGACCACCGGGCACAACACGGAGTGGTCAGTTCTTTTGTTGTTGTTAATGCTCACCCAAGGATATTCTTCTGTTAATATTTAGAGTGGAAGGGAGGGGGAGAGACAGAGAGAGAAACATCGATGTGAGAGTGACACATTGATTGGTTGCCTCCCAAACGAGCCCTTCGGGGGGGTGGGGGGGGGTACATGCCCTTGACGGGAATTGAACTCCCGACCTTCAGTTTGAGGGCCGATGCTCTATCCATTGAGCCAAACTGGCTAGGGCAAGAGTGGTCCGTTCTTGCTGGTACTTGCTGAGCCAAAGCACGTGGGGGAAGGGGGAGGGGGGCCTTATAGCTGAGAGAACTGAGGCCCAAAGAGGTCAAGGACTTGTCCAAGGCCACACAGTGTGCCTCTGGTCAGATAAAAGGCAGGCCCCAGGCTGGCAGTACAGGGGTGGCATCTGAGAGGCTCCTCATGGGCCCAGCCACAGCCTCCCGCGGGCCGACCTGGGGTCACCTGCACTTGGCACAGTCCCTCCAGGAGCCAGTGCTCCCTTCAGAGGCCCTGAGGGAGAGGAGCTGTCCTGAGAGGGGCCGGGTTCCCATCTGGGACGTGAGGCGGCCGGGCCAGGTGTACGAGGAAAGCCTCTCACCTCTAGGCCTTTGCTCTTGCCCCTTTGTCTCCTGAAATCTGCCTCACGCGGGTAACTGACTTCCGGTCAGAGTTAGAGGGCAGGTCTTTTGAAGCCAGTGTTCACAGTATCACATGGTCTTGTCCAGGGCAGGGCCTGACATGGCACCTGGCACTTAGTAGGCCCGCAGGAAGTGCTCAGTCAATGGAGCTGAGGATGGAGGAGCCTAGGACTGGGCAGACAATCCCAAGCTTCATCCTTGGTTTTTATGGCTCCTGGGGCCCAGTGACCCCCCTCCCCAGCCTGGCCCCCACTCACGTTGCGGAACTCCCGGAAGGGCACGAACTGCACGATGTCTCGGGCCGCCTCCTCCCCCGTGTGGGAGCGCAGCCTGCGGCTGTCCCCGTCCAGGAACTCCATGGCAGCGAAGTCGGCGTTGCCCACGCCCACGATGATGATGGACATGGGCAGCTTGGAAGCCTGCACCACGGCGTGCCGCGTCTCCTCCATGTCACTGATGACGCCGTCCGTGATGATGAGGAGGATGAAGTATTGCTGTGGGGAGGTCAGTGGGCACTCAACAGGGCCCTGAGGCCCCTTCCCCCTCCCATCCCATCCCCGCCCTTCACAGCCCTCGGACCCATGGGAGGAAGTGTCCGCAGCTGTAGCCGGGTCCCAGCCACCTCCAGTACCGGGGCCCCTGCAGCCCTCTTGTCCGTTTAAAGCGCGACCCAGTCTCAGCCCGAGACTTCGTTTTCAACTCGGCTCTGTCCTTGGCACCCTCTGGCCCCTTTCCGGGGGAACTCAGTTTCCCTCCATAAATAGAGGAGCCCTCGGAGCTGCCTAATCTCTGCTTAGAGCTTCTGCCTTTTACGCCGACCCTTCCGCTTCTCAGGAGAGGAAGTTGGGGCCCAGACCAGTCAAGGTCGTGGACGGCAGGCCCAAGTCAGCCGCCAGGTCAGCATTTGGCCACCTTGACACCCGTTTGCTCCCTGAGGGACGTACAGGGGATACAAGTTAACCCCCTAGGATGCCTTGCTCTCCTGCTTGTCCCCCAAGCAAACTGGAAGGAAGGAGGGGGTGAGTCACATGGAGGCATGAACCCATGATCCTAATCCCAGTCCTGGCAGCAGTAGGCTGGCTCCTGCACTGTGCCTTTAAGAGATCAAACCCTTGACTGGGCATACCTGTTGCTATGGAGATGGTGGCCTGAACCCCTGCAGTGGAGGGCTGCTGCTGCCAGTCCCCCACTCCAGCAACCCTTCCCTAAGTCAGGTGCTTCCATCCCACCAGAAATATTCCCGGGCACCCAGCTGGCAAGAAGACAGGAACTGAGAGGCCTGGCAAAGAGGCCTCCCATCCTCCACCCCCCGCGGCCCTGTTGGCTCCCCATGCAGTCAGCCACACGTCTGCCCTGGGAGACCTGGAGCGCGCAGGCCTGAGCATCCCTCAGCCCTGTCCTGGGAGGTGGGCACGGACAGGGCCTGAGCTGCTGCAGGGCAGTGGGCACCAACTATCTGGGTGAGGAAGTCCCTGTGAACACAGGGCCTGCACAGGCCCTCCCTGGCACCTTCCCACTGCAAGTCTCCTTTAGAGACGATGCACTGAGTGAGGTTAAGTGACTTCAGGCCTCCCAGCCAGTCTCAATTCTGAACCAAGCCTAGCTTACTCCAACGTTGGGGTTCTTCCCACAGCGCCCTCCTTTGCCTGCATTGTCTCTCCAGGAGTGGGGCCTGCACCCTCACCCAGCACCCTAGCGTCAGGAGGCCAGAGTGTCCAACATAGCAGCCCAGGGCGAGGTCCAGAGCCGTGGCACTGGACTTTCACCTGCTGGGTGCCAACCAGCTCGTCACAATGCCCACACTCACGTTTGTCCTCAGCTTGGGGTCACCAGCCTTGGCAATGGAAGTCCTGGGCTCCTTGCCCATTGTAGGCAGAGCCCAGGTTGTCCAGGAGCCTCTAGGGTTCATTACAACCCCAGGGGTCCACGCCCCCCCCACCCCCCAAGATAGCTCAGAAGGGACCTGGGAGGGGCTGTGGACGGGGAGAATGAAGGGCAGAGCCGGACAGTAGGAGGGGGGAAGGGGCTCTGCTGTCCCCACAGACAGTCCTGGTCTGCGCTACCCCAAGATGTCCCACCTCCATGGGAGCCTTTCTGGTTTACTTCCGCCTGGCACACCCTTCCCAGCCTCAGCTCCCAAACCCACCTGAGGGTCTCCCCCCACCGTGAGCTCTTTCCACTGCAGCGTTGCCCATGGGGCTCCTCCTTGGGGCACCCCTCCCTCCCTCACACCCTGAACAATCCTCAGGATAGCCCCCTGTACCCTCTCCTCCACCTCACAGGCCATCTCACCCTGTCTGTGCTCCAGAAACTGTCAGCCCATCACTGTCAGGTTGAACCCCAAACCCAAACTCCCAGCACCCTTCAGGGACCGCCTTGCATCCTCTGCCTTTGCCGGAGGCTCTTTGGGTTTCTAGGGCTGTAACCAGCCACCAACCCATTTAATGTTGTGATGTGATTGATAAGAAACTGACTTGACCACACAGTTCTGGTCAGTCTGCACTCCCTGGCTTATTTCTGAGAAGTGGGTTTGCCGAGGGCCCTGGGGTGGGAGTGGGAGGGGGGAAATTCCCAGGGTCCAGGCTGCTTCCCAGGTCCCCTCCACGGGAACACCAGACACCTAGGAGGCCAACCAGGATGGGCCATGGACAAGATGGCCCGAGTCTTATGGGCCAGAGCAGAGGGGAAAATGAAGGCCCCATGGGAGGAGTCCCCTGGCCCCACCAGAACCTCTTCACACCCTTCAGTGGCTCCCCACTGCCCTCAAGGGCAGATTCAGATTCCTCACCACCCCCCACAGCCCTGTGGGAGCTGGCTCAGCCCTCTTCCACCACACTCTCCTTCAGTTATAACCACACACCATGCTTCCAGGCTTTGCACATGCTGTTCCCTCCGCCTGGGGTGCTCCGCATGCATGCACACACGCATGTTCACACATGCAGGTGCACACACACAACTCGAGGCTAACTCTCAAGCATCCTCCAAGTCTCAGCCTGGACATCACTTTTCCAAGAAGCCTTCCTGCGCCCTCTGGGTCGGGTGCCACCTTTATGACTCTACTTCTGTCACCGTCGCTTTAATCGCCTTACATCTCGGTTGCTGCTCTCTGGCCCGGCCCCCCACTAGACTGCAGGCTCTGGGAGGACAGAGGCCATGTCTTGCGTATCACAGAACCCCCCCCCCCCCCCCCGTACTACACAGAAATATTCTCAGTAAAGACGGGTTGTGTGGCCCAGACAGCATGGCTGGGCATAGACCTAGGAGCCAGGAGGTCATGGTTCAAATTACGGTCACAGCACTTGCCCAGGTTGTGGGCTCGATCCCCAGTGGGGGGCGTGCAGGAGGCAGCTGATTGATGATTTTCTCATCATTGATGTTTCCATCTCTCTC